TAATTACTACTTACTAACATTAYATCCTAAGAATGGCTAGAATCTGACTTCAGAGGCTAGAAAGTGCAGCTGGACTCATACCCCCCCCCCCCACACACACTATACCTATATAAAATTTGGGCATGTCTACACAATTTGTGTGTGTGCATATATCTCACAAGAGCTGTGAGTATGGCTTAAAAGTTATGGGGTCATCTTCAAGCTAAAAAAAGCTAAACCCTGTTGTAATTAAGTTAACTGAAAGTGCCGTGGCGAACAGCAAGATGAAGTAGAGCATTCCTTCATGTGAAAGACAYTCCCATTTTATTTTTACTAAAACCGACTTAAAAGCTCACTTGAAGCAATCCCATATTTTATTTTGAGGGGTTTATCCCTTCTTGGAAAATAATCAGGTACTGGGTGCTGATGACGGCAGCTCACAGGCCTAGAGGCAGAGGTCAGAGGAACTGGGAGAGTTGCCTGTCAGTCGGTGAGGCTCCCTGACGGCCTCTGCCCTGACCAGCTGACCAGGGGAGAAACCAGCACAGAACATTACAAGGTCTGGATGTAATCTGTGTGTCATGGGGAAAAAAAGCTCAAAGAGAAATATATTCTTTAGAAAATGGTCAAGATTAAAGTTACAACTCTATAAAATATTACATGATTATTGTATATCAGATACTTTTTACAGATCTTATTTTAATGGAGTTTTAAAATATTCTAAGTAAGGTTTTATTTATTTATTTATTGGTACCATGGATTAACTCAGGGCTGCTTAACCACTGAGCCATATCTCTAGCCCTTTTTTATATTTTATTTAGAGACAGGGACTTGCTGAGTAGCTTAGGGTCCTGCTAAGTTGCTGAGGCTGACCTTGAACTCACAATCCTCCTGCCTCAGCCTCCCCAGCTGCTGGGATTACAGGTATGCGMTACTGTGTCTGGCCTAAGTAAGGGTTTATATCTATAAAGGTTATCTCAAAGATTTTCATGGACTATTCATAAAAAAGAGGGAGAGGGAAGTGAATACCAAATTGTTTTTTTAAAAAAATTCTTCCAAGTTTGAAGGTCCTGACCTAGTTAGGAGTTCAAAATGTAAGTTAAATTAGCTAGATTGGAGTTACACAAAATTATCGCCACTAACAAGGTTGTATCTGGTTAACTAAAAACATTTAAAATAATTCTCTGAGTCCTGTAAACTTCTGTGTAAGTGTCCTACTTGATTAGTTTGTAACGTTATGACTTGGGCATAAAAAACAAATTCATGTTGGAATGCACCTAAACAGATTTGTCCTTATATATTGTAAAACATACCCTTAGAATGGCTCAGAACCCCGGCCCCGTGTGATAAATGCTTACAGATCACCTTATGGACTGTCTGAGACATTCATTGGCAGAAAATTCTCTCTACAGCAGGTGTGATTGTGCAATGTTTTGAGCATTTACTAGTTTCTAGTCGCTGTGTTGAGTGCTTCTCTGACATGGTCACGATTCTGTACAGTTAGTAACATCCAGTTGTACAGACAGGAAAGTGCATATCAATGGAGATGAAGTAATTTGCTCAAGGTCATTCTGTTGTCAAGCAACAGTGTCAGGTCAGCTGGCACATCCTGGATGTGACACTATGCCATGGGGCAAGTCTACTCTCATTCTGCAATTTTTTTCTTGCACATGTTCATCATAACCATCATAGCCCTAGTCCAACAAGCATTTATTTATTCGCCATTATTTCTTGTACCATTCATTACATGTTTACCTTTTCCAGGGTGCACACAAGCTATGATTAAGGGAAACAGAAGTAAGATTGTTCCTAATTTTTCTCTAAAAAATTGCTAACTTGTAAATTTTCAAGCCATACAAAAATGCATATGTTAATAAATACCACTTCTTCCCTATCTTCTTCCCCAAATTCAATTCTATATAGCTATTAGGAGTCTGTTGTGTCCTACTTTCTAATTCCTTTTTTTCTATTCATAAGAACCCTTAAACATGTGTCCATCTATGTATCTATTTTTCCACCTGTGTGTGTGTATGTACATGGGTGTGTATGTACATATGTATCTTTGCTTTGAACAATTCCCATATGCACAATTCAGTTACTATGGTTTAAGTAACACCAGTCCTCCAAGAGCACGGTTCAAATTCCAGCTAGAAATTAGACTGTTGTCCTCAGTCTGCAAATCATTCATGTAGTAACTTATGTGCCCCATGACTCGAAACCAGTAATGTCACTTCTTTCAAAGTCTGTTATGGCTGGTCACTGGGCATCTGTAATTCATTCAGTTCCTGCAGAGAGCAAAGCATGTAGTGACACTGCTTTGTTTCCTAGTGATACAGCCATGTGACATTTTACAAAGATGATGAGTCAGCACAGGGCACTGGCCAACAAGGACAAATAGTACAGCAAAGAAATTAAAAGTGATAACAATGGAAGTGAAATCGGAGAGGACCGTGGGGTCCTGACACTGCTGCGGTTTGATAGGACATGGGTGAGAAGCCAGAGAAACTTAGTGAAGGGAACTTAATAAAAAGATGTCCCAGAGGAAGTGGTGCTGGCATAAACCGTCACCTCAAAAACTCTCGGAGCCATTTCACAACACTGAGAGCAAAAGAAAGGAATGTGACAATTTGCCAAGGTATAGAAAGGAATTACTTGCCCTATATCATGACTTACATCCTAAGAAAGCAGGCACAGCTGGAATGTTCTCGTTAGGTTTTTGACAATAAAACCCTGAATTCTCAATATCGGAAATGCCTTATAGTGTACTAAAGAAATATTAAATTTACTATTTTTCATTTCTCCACACATTTATAATTGAAACTTCAAGAATGAATATGTTAACATATGATTTTGAAGGCCATGGAACAATCATTTTTTCCCCATTGATTACTGTTTTGCAGTTTGTTCGCCTGGTCATTTTTTATGGTCTTGCCTAAAGACTCTATGTGTATGTGTATATGTGTAGGTATAGAATCAGTTTTAAAAAATAAAAGCATATTCACGTTCCTTCTGAAACTTGTGTTCTTCCTATAACATGTGAGTGCAAGTAGATGTGATTCTTTGTAATGCTGCATTGTATTCCACTGCATGGATAGACAGTTGTACAGAGAACATTTCCTACTGATGGACATATAGGCTGTTTTCAGTTTTTCACTATTACAATGCTGACATACTTTCATGCACATATTCAAGTATTTTATGGAGGCAATTTCTGCAACTACTGGGTCATTAAAATAAGAAAAATATTTACCTTCACTACTGTTCATGGCAATAGAAAGCAACACCACAACATTTTACATTCGAATGGCCAAAATTCAACTCTGACAGTACCAAGTTGGAGAGAACCTGGGTCCACTGGCTCTCAAATATTTTGCCAGTATTAGTATAGTTCAGAGAGCCTCTTTGAGAAACACTATCCAATGTGGTTCCTGTACTTCACATAGGTACCTGTAGGAACTGGGTTCTTTTCCCACCAACGCAATTGAGGCCTGGTATCTCCCTAGACCTTGTTAGTCATTAGTCTTTTTGTTTACTTATCTCCTTGACTTTCCTCTCAACTACAAAATAAGGTCTGGAGCAGACATCTTGTCTAACCTGTTCATTACTGGACTAGAAGAGCATAAAACACCACTCAGCGAGTAGCTGAGTGAATCATTTTGCACCTCCTGATACAGTGGGACTGCACAGCTTTTCATCACTGTCTCTTCTGGGGACTGCACGCTCACATTTCTTGGACTTTTCCAACTGGGGAATCTCTTATTGCCTATAGGAGCTTTTCACATATTATACACAGTATTTCTATGTCTGTTTTGGGTTTTGAAAATATTTTTTAAGTTTGTCATTTYCTTTTTCATTTCTTGACACTTTTTGTGTGGTCACACCTGTCAATCTTCCCATCACTGCTTTTGGGTTTCAGGTCACTCCCAGGAATGGCATTCYAACCTTCCACACTATTCTTTCCTTTCTCTTTTCCTGCCATTTTTGTAGTTTTATTTTCACGTTAAGTCACTAATTCCTTTCCAATCTATCTGCACAGTATCAGGTAGAGAGTTAAATTTTGTTGTTCTTTTCAAATTTCCTAATACCATTTACTGAATAGGTCACTCCTTTCCCATGTTTTTTTTTTCTTTAATTTTTGTTTTTAGTTGTCGATGGACATTTATTTTATTTTATATGCGATGCTGAGAATCAAATCCTCACACATMCTAGGCCAGTGCTCTACCACTGAGCCACAACCCCAGCACCCCCAATGTTTTTAAAAATCTGTATGTAATTATGACAGCATGATTTTATTTTGAAGTGTTTGTTCATTTTTTAAAAAATAACTTTATTCCCCCAAAGTTCAAATAAATCATGGCTTACAGGTTTCTAAGTAGTAAAATTATCTTATATATTTATAACAGAAAGCACATTAAAAAAAAACCCAGAAACATGGCTTGAGAGGAAATATTTAATCTATTTCATGAAAAAAAGTATACAGCTTTAGAAAGAGAGGCAGTAGGTTTCCACATGAAGTATAAACATACCTTCACTTTCTAAGATCACATGTACCGCACTTTTTTTTTTGCATCTCTGAAGGCCCCTGTGCTTACTGCAAACGATTAATACATGCACTCAAAGAAAAGACACTGAAGAATAYGGTCTTGAAATAAAAGTAGAAATAGTGTTGTATAAAAATATATGTCTGTCTACATTAAATACTTTAAAAAAGCACAAATAAATTCTTCAAGAACTAGACCGTWCCTACAAGTATCAGCATCTGAACTTGTAATCTACGATTTTCATTGCATTTTCAATCAATGAAGAAAAAAATAAATATAATTATACTTTGGAATTGTAAGGATGAAGTCAGCACAGCAGACCAGCTCTAGTTTCAGAAATAAAACCACATACTTTCTCCACACAAAAGATAGGAAAGAATCTGAGTTTTTATAATTTAATGTATTTATGAAATGTTATAATTTGAAGCAGTGATAAATGTATGTAAATCTCAATTACACAGCAAATTTTGATTTCTCTACAAACCACATGTAAAGTAATGACAGTGATCCTAAAATGGCTCTCAATTATCCTAAGAGGGAGATTTAAAAATTTTTTTTTAACCTATGGGAAGTATAATTAGAACATATAGATCAAATGACAGTGAAATTAATTTCAAGTCACAAAGGGTATTGCTCCCCTACTTTGAAAACTGATAATAGGAATTTAAGGGGAGGAAAAAAATCCCCCCACAAGAAACTCATTCTTCCCTATCTATGGTTACTGACCTGACCACAGTTCCTCCCTGAAACTTCTACACAAACTCTGTGGTTTCTAAGGAGCGGGAGGTAGTGCGCAGGGGAATGGTGGTTTCTGTTTTCCAGATGATGCTAATGACGACGGTTCACAGGCATGGATACAGCACAACGTGTCACACGCAGCTCCATCCCAACACAAATCGGCTGGTGTTCCCTCCCAGTGGGATTAAGAATAATGACTATGAAATTTTAAAAGTGGAAGACAGTTACATGGTGGAGTCAGGAACTTGTCTGTTTTTACCCTTAAGAAACATAATTTATTAACTAATGTTTTGTCCTATTTATCTCAACATATTTTTCATGAGCATTGCACAAACTACGTAAAGAAAGAATAACAAAAATTTTGCTTAAACTGGTCTGCTTAAATCTGAAGGCTGATTTTTTTTCTCTACTTCTCAGCACTGAGTTCTCCCTTCACTTATTTCAAATGGAAACCTGTAACCAAACACATTAAAATTAAAAAGGGGTAAATTGTGTTTGTTCAAGTATTTAACATTAAAAATCTGACAATGTTGCCTAACCCTGTGTTTCTTAACCAAGACTGAYAGAGGAAGGAATCCTTACCACTTCTGGACAGTTACAAGGATGCTTTTTGGTACAAGACTGTTGAGTACTCATTTGTGCTTATTTAGTGCTTTTTAATGAAAGGTGGATGGTCCAGGGGGAGGAATACTTGGAGATGTCTGCAATACTCTGCTTTTGGTCCTGAGGCTTTCAACAGAACAAAACATCCCTTGGTCCTCTTGAGTGGCCAGGGAAGGACACCAAAACAACAACTAACTCTATCTAGGCAAATGGTCCATGACACGTGGCTAGTATTTTAACTTTACAACTCTAACCTTTGAAAATGATTAAACCAAACCAGCACACTAAGAAAAGGAAGGGCTGTGTCAAAAAGCCGAGTAGGGCCTCCTCCATTCTTCTGTATGCAGACTCTGCCAAAGGAGGCCAGGCTAAACTGCAGGTTGAATATGTGCAAGGGCCAGGGCTTGTCGGCTGTGGAATGTACATAGATGACTCGTGCCTCTCACTTAAAGTACTATTCTTTATATTAACCTATTGCAAAGAAATGAACGAAAAGCAAACTTTTACTTATTTGGGACAATACAGTGATTTAAGATTAGTGCTAATTCTTCATTCACATAAACTATGTGCCACAGGTGGAAAAAGCAATCTTGGTGATTAATGGTAAATTCCACTTTTAAAATATGTCAACATTCATCACTTTCTTAAATGGACATATATCACCTTATAGATTTCAGGAATGGGATTTTATACTAAAATTAATAAATTCCTTAGTGCATGCTACTGTTAGTATTTATTAAGCAAGCCATTTAACAGTGAAAAGATGACTGCATTCTGTATAAGAATGATCATTAATCAGAATCACTGGCAGATAATCACTGCTAGCACTTTGCTTCATTTCTTTTAATAGCATCTAATGCTGAAATCATAGGCTGACCCTGGCAAAAACTTTACTGAAATTGAATTACATGTATTTGTGTCATTGTGGAACGGTCTGCATACCAGTATTTACGAAGCAAGAAAACACTAGACTTTACATTACTAGAGCTAATTTGCTAAGGAAACAAAATTTTCTTAAAAATACAAATGATCTTATCAGGGTTTGAAACAGTCCTGTGCTAAGAATTGTTAACTCTTGCGGCCATGGTCTTCATTACTGTCTGCAGACCAACTGAAGCCACACAGGTGGGACCAGCACTGGGATTTCTTTAATACACGCATCTGCCAAGAAAATTTGTGGATTAAAGAAGAGTCGTATATAAAAATCTTTGGGGAAACAATTATTCAGACCATTTTAAGGCCTGAATAATAGTTTATAACAAAAAATCATGCAATTAAATGGATTTAAACTTCAAAAATAATCATTAAGAGTACTGGGTTCTCTGGATTGACAAATTACTACATAGAGCCTGGAAAGATGCCACTTCCTGAATGTGTGACCTTGACTCTGCTGGTATAACTGCTCACCCCTATCTCAGCTTCTGGTCCTTCCCTCTTAAGGCGATCCTGAGTTACTGTACAAAGCGTTTGAAGAAGCACTGGGAAATGCTTACTACCTAGTTGAAGGCCTAAGAAAGTGTTCACAGAAGTAAGTGTTCTGCATCTCGGCTTTTTAACCTTATACCCTAGTGTAGCAGAGCCAGGAATTAGGAGACCTAAGCCAGGACAAAATATCTACCATTCACTCTCCTCCCTCGTCATCCCACATCACCTAGCAACTGTGGACACCCAGCCCTGCTCTAGGTATCAATGTCATTTTGGGAGCTTTCTGATCTCAAAGCTGTCCCCTCATCTGCACAAAGGAAACAATAATCTTCCTGTCTAGTTTATAAGGTTATTTTGAAGCTCAATTAAGGCAGTATCTATTAAAGCACTTTGAAGATCCTGTAAGCACCATCAGAGTGAAACTTCGGGTTAAAACACGTATCCTGGTGCAAGTTGTTAGGCACGTGCTGTTGGAGTATGGTTCAGGGTGTCTGGACCTTCTCTGAAGCAAGTGGATTATTCATGGGTCCAGAATATCTTTTTAAAGTTTTAATATGACTGTAGGCATGCATCTTTATAACTACAGTACTGTTTCGAAAACAATGATATGCTTTATTATAGAACTTTCTCTTCTTCAACCCCAACTCTATGGAGAATACTAACACAACAAATAGTTGGTAGATAAAGATTTTCCTGTAAATTTGCAGTTGCAAAGAAAATGTCAAGCCATGTGTGTCTGTGGTCAACTTATCATTATTATTAACTAAGCCTTTAAGTAGCAGTTTCATTATTTACTAAATGCTAAAAAAAATTATTATGCTATAGGTACATATTTTTATTATCTTCCCCAATTTTCCAACTTTGGAAAAACAAGTAAAGAATAACTTATCTCAGGGGTATTAGCTCGAAAGTAGACTGGCCATAAAAGAAATGTGAGAACTTCTTGAACTAATCTTCATATCCATGTACACATACACACACATTCATCCACACATATTATATAGTTTTTGGCTGCATTAAGACCTATATATTAAGCTTACTGTAGCTTTTTGAAGACCTGATAATACTCTAAATACATTATTAGACAGTTAGGGATAAAATTGTTTTTCATAGTCTTTGAACTTTGCCAAAGTTACACTTATAGGTGATTAAACACAAGGTTTTCTCTTGTGAATAGGTTAAATATTTGTTTGAGATAGAATACTCAAGATAAGCAAAATTCTTTCCAGGGATCATATTAATCCTGAGTATAAATTTTTTTAAAAAATCTCACTATTTGTAAAATGATATCACAGCAAGGAGAAAAAAAATATATAATTCAGGGTAAAAATCCAGGCATTATGTCAAAATGTGTGTAATGTTATCTTACTAGCATTTTAATTAAGGTGACTTAACTGAAACTTACTTTAACTCTTTTGAAACCCACTGGACATAACTTGTGCAACAGAAAAGCAAAAGTAAAAAAATAAGAGCCCTAACGAAAAACAGAAGGCAGACATGGATCAAGAAGTTTTAAAAATAAACTTTATAGTGCCTACTCTTATATAAGAGGTTTATGTTAGTTATAAATTCTAGAATCACATTTATATTGCTTTAGTGTGATTTATTCAAAATCATACTAATCCATTATAAATAAAATTTTTAGTGTATAAAACAATGCAGACTGGCAGTGGGTAAGAATAAAAATGTTCAATAAAAGAGTACTCTGAAAATCAAGAAAAGTATTTGCTTAAAACTAATCCAAAACTCTACCTAGGCAAGTAAAGGGAAAGCTTAAAAAGTAGTTTTGAATTTTTAATGTACACAAAAATATATAAACATATTCTGGGTATTATACTGAAAAATAAGTCATCAGTTATTTCTACATTAGCAAGTTAAAACTCTATTTCTTTTAGAGAGTGAGACTATTTATGTCCTTATACAGGAAATGAGCCAAAATATTCTCATCCTGTCCAAGTGGAAATGAGAAGTATGATAAGTCAATGACATTAAAAAGTAATAAGGTCTATTCTCCATAAAAGAGAAAATTATGTTTTGGTTGTTTGTGGAGGGAAAAGGTTTAACGAGGTAATTACATACAATTTTAAACAGAATTCTTTTTTATTTTATATTTTTCTGTAAAAGTAGTTTTTGTAGGCTATTAACTAATCAAAGTCATGATCTATACATTCTCTTAAGAGATTTCACCAACCTTCTGAAACAAGTAAATACTATGTTTCAAAACTGTATTTCCCAAAATATACATAAATGGGCAGACAATGTGTTTAAAAGATTACACTTCAAATTTAGCATTGTTTTTAAAGGAGGGGAAGCATATTATGTCATATTGTTTAAAAATATAAGGAGGGGAAGCATATTATTCCATATTGTTCATAAATATTTATTAAATAAATAAACATGGTCCACCTGAGGTTTTTAAGATCTTGTAAGCTGTTTAAATCACAAACATGTTGAATCTACTTTTGGAAAAACAAGAGTAAGTTTTTAGATAGTTATAAGATAAATTGTGATAACGGTAATTTTTTCTAAAAATCTCCAGTATTCTCAGTAGCTATTTTTTTTTGGAGTTCAAAAAACCAAAAACCAACAAAACAGTATATGTTTTGGCTCTAATATTTTAAAAAGTAGTTAAGATATACTATACCTGTGAATTACACAAAAGTACTTCACATTGAAAATTTCAATATGAAGACTTAAATGTGATCTTAAAAAACATCATGATCAACAATCAAAATTTAAATTTTAAATATGGGAATCAAAACCCCAAAACCAACAAATCTGCATTTAAAGCTTACAAGTAAAATATAAATTTCTGAAACAACATACATACCCATTTATATCAGATTCAGCTGTCACAATAAATTTTTTATCACAGACAGTAATGTGTCCTAAGTCCCTTCTCCTTGAAAGTTATACTATTTCTGGGACCCATTCATTATCTAGTGATAATGTGTTCATTCAAAAACCAAACCAAACCAAAAAACAGTTAAGGAACAGGCCTATATGTTCAACTTTTTCTGTATAAAGTTATAAGGCATTAATAATGCTGTGTTAAAACAACAAATAATTTATAATAAAAATAGATCAAAACTCTCTTTTTAAAAATATTTCAGCTGAGAAAATCACAGAAGGGAATAAAGATATATGTAACCACCACATGCTCTAAGCATCTACTGTAAAGAAAATAATATATACTTTTTTCTTTTTTGGCTTAAAGTAAACCTTATGCCTTAAATGGCAGGTATCCTTACACAAACATGTAGACTGGAGCTTAGGTCTATCTAAAGTTACTATAAAATTTACATATGCAAATGTGTTTATTTCTATTAATAAAGTTAGAAAAAGTTAGTTAAAATACTTGGTATGATTATATCAGCACTGCAAATTATCTTATAATATTCTTTAGAGTGTAGTCTTCAGTCTTTTGCCAAATAGCTGCAGAGATTTCATATCTTTGTCTAAATGATGGTCAATGACTTAGCTAATATAAAAGCAGAATGAATTTGTGTACAATAATAAATAAGCATAGCTTTATTTTAATTTTAGTTGCTAGAACTGAGCAATGGGCGTCTTGAATCCAGAAGCAGAAATAAAATTTTTTCTGTAATGAAAGGAATGGAGGACAGGGCTTGTGACTAAGTGCTGCTAGCTGGCTTGCTAGAATACATACCTGAGCTCTACTGGATCTATGTACCCTGGTTGTGTGTAAGTTATCTCTAAAGGCTGCCTGAACAAAATTCCCTTCATCATGCAAGCACTGCTGTCTGCACTACAGTAATAGAGAAACACGCTGATAGATACAACTGCTGTAAGTGATAAGCAATTGCCAGGAATTTGCAGTGAAATCGTTGGTTGGTTGGAAATGTTCTCTATGTCTCCAGATGGTATCTGTCCTTGAAGAAGCCACTCATTGCCTAGAAAATAAAAGAAATAAATTGTTAAGATTGTATAAGAAGACAAGTAGGAGACTGGAAAAATCTCAGGGAGACAAGATACATTCAATCAACTAATATTGATGAAAGTTTCTAATGCTGGGCACTGCAATCTGGGGCAAAGGCATAAATATAAATAAGACATAATGACCACAAATGAGCCCCATCTGGTGATTTCTATATGTAATTATTACAATTCTTCCTTTGTTTAAACACCATAAATCATAAACTTAATTCTACTGAAATCAAGCTGAATATTACAAATATGGCTCTAGATCCTTGAGCCCCAAATTTCAAAATGAAATCTAAGCAGGATAAATAAACACAAGCTATGTGAGACAACAGAACATTTTACCACAGAGAAACACAGAGACACAGTACAAAAAGAACTTCATCTAGAGAATACAAGTGTATGTACAACTCCACAGTGGCTTTTTAGTTAAGATAATGGTAAATTCTGAAATATCTTAGAGTAATAATAATAAAAATACAGATAATGCCATATATACAATCTCTGAGTCCAAACAATACAGAAACTAAGATTTTTTTCTACCTCATTTTAATAGATAAAACTCATCTTAGACTTAGATACTAAGATCATCTATATAACAAACATTCAATAAACCACTAAAGAACTTTAAGCCTTCTAGTATTAAAATTCTTAACCGTCTGTATTCATTTCGAGCCTTCTCTCTGAGGAAGGCCTGTGTCCTATTGAGGAAGCAGTACTGCACGGACATTCTGCTCACAGGGGCAGACACCAGGAGTCAGATTTGGGAAACACAGCAAGAAAGACTTCCTGCTAGAGAACACTCAACATCTCTCACGATGCATCATTGTCTTGGCCTTTGTACAAAAGCTGGGTCCTCCACTGAGTAGCCATGAGACACTTTTTAGCTTTTTGTCTCTTTTCTTTGCCTCCTGAGGAGCCAYAGACTCAAGAGCCTGCCTCTATTAGTTTTCTCTCCTCTCCCCTTTGGTTGATTGCTTCTAATATTCGGTTGACTGAAAAATGAAATTTGAGAAAATTTAAGACACCCCATTGCTCAGTTCTAGAAACTGCAATTAAAAAAGTTAAGAAGAATAAGGAGAAGGTGAAAGGGAAGAACTGGAGTTAAGTGTAGAGAGTTTATGCAGGAGTTTTTCAACAGGTCTATAATTCTCCTGAAAATTCTTTGGCTTTCTTTACTTAGTTCTGGACTGGGAGCATGCTCTACTTAATCCTTGATTTCACTTGATAGAAAATTAGCACAGAATTTCTTAAATTTTAAAGCCAGATGGGAAAATAATAAACTGCTCTATTTTATATTCAAATCAAGAAATAAAAGCAGCCAAAAAGAGAAAATATCTTTTAATCCTAAGTGTACAAATGTATTCCATAAAATAATTTTCAAAATCTTGCCTAAAAGTTTATTTGCCTGTATGTAATAAAAATGGCACAAATATCTTGGACAAGTGATGAAAGAGCTAAGTATTTTCCCCCAGACACTTCACTTTAGTACCATTTGTATTTTATATCCCAATGACTTGAGAGTAATTCATCTGTTTAACAAAGCAGAGTTAAAAATGTTAATCTGTCAACATCTTATTTTAAAAATCAATACTCTGCTCTACAATTACACAGAGAGAAATGAGATTAATGATATCCAGCTGATGCACCACTTCAGACCTGGGGGCACAGACACAACAGTTAAACCAGCAGTATAGGGTCTGCTGTGAACCCAGAGGGCTGTGGGACAACTCTTCTGTCYACAAAGCTAGCTCCAACTCTCTGAGTAGTGCATGGCTGCCCCGCTCCTTGTAGGGAGTGAGAGGGGTGGTTTCCCTGTAGGCTCAGTCAGCCTCCCAGTCTCTAACTGGCATCTACACAGCTGGCCCACAAAGTTCTCTTTGTCCTCTTGATTTAGACTTGTTGAGTGGCTTCTGTTCTGAGAATGTATGAAGGTAAGAAGGCATGAAGCCAGGATTTGGGTAATGTACAAAAAAAAAAAAAGTGTGTGAGAGGGTATGAGGGAAAAAGAGTTGGGGAGGAAATGGAAGATTGAGTGAGAACGTGTGAAAGAGCGTGGGAGACTAGGACAGAGGATGATCATTTGAGACAAGAAGTCCTACTTTCAGAAGTTCTGGACCACTACTATCCCACTGTAAAACTGCTGTCCGCTACATTACAGATGATGGAAAGCTCTAAAAAAACTCTAGTAAAACCAGGCGGTATGCTTATTCCGTAGCATCCATGAATGAAACAAGAAGCTAGCTCACACTATAAAGGGCAGGGACTGCATTAAGGTGACTAGACAGATGAGTTACAGAAAAAGATGTTAAATAAGGAGGTGCCACTTCATTTCTCTATTTCAGACTTTAACTTTAAAAGGTTCTTTTTGGGAACAAAAATGAAGAAAAAATGAAGAACAAGCTTAGAATATGGGAAGAAGTATAGGCAAGTCCATTCTCTAAGAAACTGCTAACAACTGAGGTGTAATTCAGTGAGTTACACTGTTCTTTAATAAAATGGAGGAAAGGACCTCTGAGATCAAAGAAAACTGCCAATGTGGGTTAGATCTAAATTCATTTTTTTCATATAATCTTCCTCAATCACTGAGTAAAAAATAACACATGATAAATGAGCAAAAATTRTTGTATTAAACATAAAAAATTTATTAAATATTTTCATACCTTCAGCTGTTAGAAACCAGCAACTGGATACTCCTTCAGTTAGCTTTGCTCCTGACGGGAGGTCCAGTCTGAGCTTGAACTGCAGCGTCTGCCCAGGACAAGCAGTTACTGTGGAAAGCCCAATGCTCGGGGCAGATTTAGGCAGTTTGGGTACCGTCTTCTGTTTTTCCACTAGGAATGGGCCATCTACCACGGCATTTTCAGATCTGAGGACAGGGAGCTAGGAAATCAAAAAATCTGTTATTAAAGCACCAGTACTGTACAGCAATTGAGAGTGAGTTTATTTTTAGATTTCAGTAGGAAAATGAATTTCTCTATCACTGAAACTGTCATTCTAGTCTGAATTAGAAGGTGTTTTTCCTGAYGCCCTCCAGATTCAAAAAGAGAACCAATACTTATAAAAGAGTAATTGTCCAATTATGTTTATAGGTGGCAGGAAATCAAAGCAAGATTTTATGAATTTAAATGTAGTAGATATATCCATCCCCTTATAATTTGTAGCCAAGTATGTTATTCATCTTATAACAGAGATCTATGTGAAGAAAGATGACAGCTTTGATGGTAAACTGTTTTTTATTTTAAAACATATTCTTTGCAGATTACTAGAATTTTAGAAGAAACAAATCTTTTTCCCCCCCCAGGTAAAGGTGATTCATCAAGAGGTAGCTATGATAGACACTTCTCTTACAATTCTATTATAGACCATGTCCACATCTTTAAAATGTGGCTTCTAAAACTTCCTCTGGCAGATAATTTGGTACTGGATTCACCATAGGGAACAAAGATTACACGATAATCTCAGGATCACTGCGTAACACCACCCAACCCACGTGCCGTGTGTATGTAATATGTGCTGGTGTATCTATATATTTAAAAACAGATCTGAGTCCTTCCTTTTCTCTTGAAGGTTCATCAAATTCTCTCCAACTCCCAGTCTCTTTCTCAAACTCTCAGCACAGATGGAACTTATATTTTAGGAATGACAGGATATCCTCAAAGCAGTCCTGCTGGTCTGGTTATCACAGAACACAGCGGAGGAGGGCTTACTATACCACCTCCACGTGTCACCTGAGCCACTGGAGATGGTCTGACTCAAAGCATCTCTGTCAGTGCCATGGCACCTGAGTACTGTTCTTAAAACCACACCCTCAACTTATGCTGCAGTTCACTTACCACAGAAACTGTTCTTGTTTCTAAGTCCATCACTTTAATTTGGTGATTATTGGTATCTGCGACATACAACAACTGACAGTTCTCTCCAACACACAAGCCTCCTGGCTCATTAAAAGCTGACTCAGTAAAACTGGAACTGAAAACATCATTTGTGTCTCCGGTTCCTGCTAATGTTGTACAGCTTTTTGTTTTTGGATCCACAACTTTAATCTAAAGAAAAAGAACAAAATTTATGTATCTGAAGATCCACCTCAGGCTTGTATAATGGAAAGGTACAGCATCCAGAAAATGTTAGAGTTTTGGATAGCCATTAAATTATCAATAAATCTAAAAAAAAGTAGGTATTTCCTTATTCTCTTGAAAAGCCCAACACTTATAATCTAAGAAGAGGTATTCCACCCCAAGAACTAAAAACTGTGTATTTTCTAGGTGTAATCTTGGATAAATTTTTTTCTATAATTAAAAATAAATATTTCTATTGTCTTTCTTTACAGTGGAACATACTTTCACAACTGAACTGACCCTTTTCTCACGAGCATCTAGCACTGACAGAAGATTTGAACTTCTTTAATGACATCAGTCACGTCTCAAACATATTAAATTTATGATCTCTTATTACAAAGTGTTAACATTTGTTATCTATGGATGCTTTCTAAAAAAGAAACATGCAATGGGAACTGAAGCCATTAAAAAGACAAGTGGGGACGCTGGTGGAGATGGGATTTCGTGGCAGCAGGCACTTCGAAGACGAGAGCTCAGAAGCCCTCGCCTGCTAGTTGACACATTATCTTCCAGGCTATTTGCTTTCTCCTTATTTCCTGAACATATTTTGATGGATCACAATTCATAACTTTTTTGTGGGGAGGGGTACTGGGGATTGAACTCAGGGGTGCTCTAGCACTGAGCTACATCACTGGCCCTTTTTATTTTGAGGCAGGATCTTGTGCTATGATGCCCAGGCTGGCTTCGAAGTTGAGATCCTCCTGTTTCAGCCTCCTCAGAAGTTGGGACTCCAGGTGCGTGCTGCTGAACCCACACAATTCATAACTTTTTATTATAGCCAAGTTTAGTGCTTTTCCTGCTTCAGATATCATCATAATATCTTGCCAAAGAAAGGACCAGAAGAAACACAGAACAAGCTGGTACACAGCTGCCAAGGGCTGTTGTTCCTCTGTATTCTGGAGTGGCACTAGTAGGAGGCACACAGATCTTTCAGCGTTTTAAACACCACAGGCAAAAGCAAGGCATTATATAATTCTGTCAAGACTCACCTTGTGATTATAGGAATCTGCCACATAAAGCAAATTTCTCTTTTTATCCCACGCTACTCCAAGTGGGTGTTGAAGCTTTGCACTGAGGCCTACTCCATCGACATCACCAAAAGCAAATAAATTCTTTTTATTTTTTTTAAAGAGAAAGAAACAGCAGTTATTAATTTTTATAATGTTTGTTAGAAAATAAAGTGAAAATTAATATAGCTGTATGTGCTATTACAGTTAAAAGGGAAAAGGCCTGTCTTTCATACAATCAGGGCTGGACACTTGCTGTAGACTGGCAGGAACTCACAGGACTGTGGCCTAGGCTGGTTTTGGTGCATCACCACTCTACTCACGCGTGGTGAGGAACAGGCTAAATCATCGAGGCTGGTGCCCTTTTCAACCAACATCTAATATGCGCTCTTCTCTTCTCAGTGAGCAATATTCTATCCCTTCTGTCTCTCTAAAGCCTTAACGTTTACATGGTTACATATCATCAAGTAGCACTGATTTACTTTTTTTAGTCGGCTTTACTTGTTTTTCTTTATACTCATATTTTCTTAGGCTTGACCTCCATTTGATCTCATGAACAGGCCAAGAATGACTTCTCCTAAGTTTCATTAACTCTGCACAATTCAGGAAACTGACAGCTTGATCAGTAACTGGGCACACTGCAAAAGTGACTTTCTTTACCATGGGATCTCTTTCTCCTCCTACGAGGTGCTTCACTGCTCCATCTTTCAGCGAAACGGTTCTCACTGTACTGCTCTCGCTATCTGCTACAAATAGGCAGCTCCAGGGATCTTCAGAGGCCAGAGAAAGACCTGAAGGTTGGGCAAAGCCCRCCTTGTGAGGATACGCATTGTTTCGATTTTCCTCATTTCCACTTCCAGCAAACCGAAGGCAGGTTCCTTTTTTTAGCTCACTGAAAGACAAGGTCATAGATGGCATCAATAGATGGGATATTGTGCCCAATATAGTCATCCAACAATTAATGAAAATGATCTAATCAATGGTGATAGCACTGTTTAAAAAAAAAAAATCAAAATTAGTGATCTTGGTCTAGTGAAACTGTGCTAGTCAGCCTTCTCTGTATAGAAACCTTCCTACTTTTCTTCAACATACACACAACTGAAAGCCCTCTCAAAGGCCAAACAGGAAATCCCTGACAGGATTGGAATTATAAAAATAATGGTCAGATTGTTTGATAAAGTTTATTCCCAGTTTAATGTCCTGACTGGTTTGCTGCATGAAACATTAAGTTCAGAAAGGGAACTAACAGGACTACCTAATTCGTGATAGTGTAAAGCTTACATTTTCATTAAAAATGTTTATGCTCTTGTGTAAAAATAGAGAATAACAAAAGGAATTAAGTAATAGTTTTTGAAAGAGAGCCAGGTCAGGCATCACTACTTTAGGAAAATGACATAGGCTGACCTTACTGCATTGACTACTGAGTCACATCAAATCAACTTCTTACATACATAGGGAAATGTCCACTCAGGATACTGGAATGATCCTTTTTGTGATATAGAGAAAGTTTTACAGGTTAGTTTCTAAATTCCATGCATAGGGAAAAAGCTGACTTAAAATGTAATATTCAAAACAAATAAATTGAAAGGTAATTACTATTAAAAGTCTGAATACTTAAAAATTGAACCCCCTTAATCAAATAAAAAGAGTGAGAAAAAGCAGTACCTTTTAAAACATTAGGGGTCATTACTACTTGAGGACCAGCCATGAATAAAGATAATGCATCCTTAAAACTAAAGTGAGGGTCAATGTGAACCAAGTGTTCATTTTCCTATTATGAACAAGAATGATGATCTTATTCAATTAAGAAACTTAGACAGCTCTTGACCATTTATGTCCAAAATAGCCATCACCCAGAAGAACATATTCTGGCAAGCTCCATTACTTCTGTCTGCTGTTTACAATTAAGCCTCACGTACGCTGCTGGTAACCTCTAGCCTGGATAGCACTGACAGTCTCCTCGATGGCATCTCTACCTCCAGTTTTGTCCCAATCTGAATGCTGCCAGGGTTCTTTCAAAATCACAGAACTAATCATGTCACTCCCAGCCTGACCCTTTCTATAAAGGCCTGCAGAATGTCCAAATCTCTTAAGAGGACTCACAAGGCACTGGGTGATCAGCTGCCACTGACATCACTGGTGCCAGCTCTTGCCTGGAAACCGCCCCATCCCTGTGGAAGCCCTGCTCCTCCATGGGGTCTCAGTCCAGTATGCCTCTTCCAGGAAGCGTTCTCTGACACTCAACTCTTACTGATAACGGGTGTTCCTCTTACTTATATTCAGGACAATTTCAACATGAAGACTGCTCCAGTGATTCTTTTCTACATACACTGTTTTTGAATTGTTTGTGATCTGATTCTTCCTCTGTAGCCCACCGAGTATGGCAACTGCATGTTTTCATTTTATCTTTAATTTAGTGAGCATATCCTTTCATCTCTAGTACCTAGCACAGAGTGTATTTAATAAATATTTTTATATGATTGTTGTAAAACATTACATAAATATGTTTCAAAGCAACACACACACATATACATAATATTTAGAATACCTGATATTTTCAATTTTCTATATAACTGCTCCTTTCTATTGATAAAGATAATTGAGAGGACCTTACTTTCTATGGTGATTTAATGACCTTTATGGTCTACTGACTTTTATACTTCATTTATTTTACAAAACCTTACTGAGTACCAGATACATAATTAGGTACAGGGGATGCAACAATGAAAGGGACAGAGCTTCTTTTTTTAAAAGATGGTCTAGTATGAGGACCTAGTTAAAGAGGGGAGAGACAGGAAGAAAAAGAAAGGCTGGGCAAACTTACAAGCACAGTGATGTAATGATATTTGGATTACAGTGAGGCCACAGAGAAGGGTGTGGCCATCTATACCTGGAATGTCAGGCAGAGGCAGAAAGGCTCTATGGGAAAAGATCTGTAGAGACACCACCTTTCCATTCTCATATACCCTATGTTGGCAGTAAATTGATCTGTGTTTATGGTATGTGCCAGGCATTACACTGAGCTCTTCACAGATTATTCATTATCAAAGAAAGCATAGGAGATCAATATGAGTAAGGAAACTGAGGCTTAGAAATCAAACAGATGAGTTCTCCTAAACTCAGAGTCAGTCAACGGCAAAGCTAGGGTTCAACTCAGGCCTGACTATAAAACCTGCACTCAGTGACCACTCTGCCACGCGATGCTCCTCCATCTGAAGGAAGAACAGCAGTTAAGAACTATGCGTCATTAGTTAAGGGCTCACCAAATATTTCTAGTTCTTTTTCTGGATGCTCAGGAGGACAGCTCTTCCTGGGCTTCTAGAAGCCAGATGTGATCACAAGACTTGCTTGGCTCGTGAAATGTGAGTAGAGGTGATGTGTGTCACTTTGCAGAAGTTTAGGGGCCAGTGAGTGACTCGCCACCTCCTTCCCTCATGATCTGCCTTGATGATGGGCAAAGCTCTAAAAGGCAGTGGCTTCATCAGCCAGGGTGGCAGAGCAGCGCTCCCCAGAGAATCTACACAGTGAGCAAGGAAAGTGTCTTGCTCTGAGCCAGCAAGAACTGGGTTGTTTGCCCTGGTAGCATAACCTAGAGTGTCCTGCCTAGTCCAGTGGGCCTGGTGAGCATGGCAACCCTCGGGGAGGGAACTCTGAGCCCCTAGAATACAGTCCACTCAAAGAAAGATGCAGAGACTTACTTTTTCTTCGGTAGTTTGCCAGAGTCCAGCAGGAGTGCCCATATCTGATGGGTCCCTGCCATGGCTATCCATAGGATGTCATCTCTCTGGACCTCTGAACCTTTATAAAAAATAATAATTACTATATTCACATCTGGTAATATAAACACTCCACTTGTTTCAGAAATTTAAATTCATGAACAATAGCAATATATTTATAAATCACAAAAGAAAAAATATGTTTTATGTTTTTATGTTGCTTTTGAAATTTTTCTGTTTTGTGAGAGGTTTACTTCTTCACTTATAAATTCTTTTTCTTCTTTTTATTTCAGTAGTGAGACTGGACCCAGGGGCATTCAACCACTGAGCTAACTCCTGTACTTTGTCCTTCCATCCCTGCCCCCACCCTTTTAATTTTGAGACAGGGTCTTGCTAAGTTGCCCTGAGATTCTTCCACTTTGGCCTCCTGGGTGGCTGGGATTATAGGTGTGCGCTACTACACTCAGCTCAGACTTATAATTTCATCTGGAATTGTAAGATTTCATGAGAATCCAAAGTGTTAGGATACACTAAAATTATTCAACACATGTAAACAATGTGTAATAATTAAATTAGGGGAACTAAAGTATTCTTAATAGGCTTATGCTTCTCTGCATTCTGAGCACAATGTTTTTAACTATCTGATTTCTTATCATATATAACAAAATAAATGAGCTGACATACTCTTCAAAGAAATTCTCAAATATCTAGAACAAACCCTCTAGGTTATACTCGTTAATAATAGCTTCTTTGAACAATTTCCATGAAAGAACAGAACTTTTAAGAGTTCAAGAAATGTGTATTTCCATCAGAGTCTGTAATTCAGACACAAATCAAAACAACTACTTAAAAACCCATGGTTAATTGGTTGTAACTTTTAAAAAAAWTTAGGACTGACATACAAAAAATAAAACCAAGACTGTAATATATGACAACATAGCTTTTTACTAAATATAATTTTCTTTTTTAGAAAGTGAACGATATCACAACTTATTACAATGGGACAAAGGTCTACTTCTCAAATTAATTCTACTGTTAAGATATTTTATTATTTTAATTTAAAATGTATTCTAAAGTAATTGAGGCACTATAACTAAAATAATTTGCTCAGACATTATCTTATAATAAAAGGAATGTCTTAGAAAGGTCATGTTATTTATGTTTCCTTTAATTTTATGTAGTTTGTATCCAGGAGAATTTTTTTTTTCATTAACTGGTATCTCTTTCAATTTAACAACAATAAAAAAAACAAAAACAAAACAAAACAAAAAAAAAAAAAACCACACAACCAAACAATTAACCAAAAAAACAAAAAACCCACAAACAAACAAAAAAATGCAATGATGAGGATCGTCCTCAAGTAACTGTGGCTGCCATGTGCCAAGCACTTTCCAGAGCTTCATTACAGTTTCTCAAAAGCCCCGTGAGAGAGATGCTGTTAGGAGGGCTGACTTATAGCTGGGTAAACAGGCTCGAAGAGGTCAGATAACTTGTCAGCCTCACAGAGCTAGCCAGCGAAGGAGCTGGACTCTGAACCCAGGCAGTCCACCAGAAACATCAATGCCCTTAACCTTTTCACATGCTACTTCTTTCTCCGTGCTCTTAATTGCTATCCAGTAAAATCTAAAGAAAAATAATTCATTCAAACTTAGTATTTCATACTCAAATATGTCTATAATCATAAATTAAGGTAAAAATGACACTGGTGTCCATACATTCTGGGAACTGAGCCTCTACTTACCTACCTTAAAACTAGATCAAAAGCTTTCCACAATTAGTTTTTAACATTCCACACTGCTCCTTCAGCTGCTCTAGAGCTACACTCTGGGACTACTAGAATGGCTGCAACACTGAGGCTAATACCACATATACACTGAAAGGTCCAAGGCCTGCGGAGCACTGGGACAATGCTGAGAGGCAGCGACACTCAAATGTCAGCCACAACCATTACTGCATGACTTTGGACTTTAATTTTATAGCATGTCATTTTAGGGGAGTCCTAAGGCATTTACAGACTGAACAGCCCTTGAGAAGATGGCACTGAGGGTAAAAAGCAGGACACATCTTCCATGAGCACTTGTTAATTTTACAGTGAGCGTTACTAAGCCTGTCTCATAACAGAGGATACTCACAAAGGGCTTGGTTTACAACTGCTTATTTGTGTTCAATCTACCATGAACACAAGATTATAAACTTCTCAGCATTAAGCAATGAAAATGAGTTTATGCTCCTGCTTAGATGACAGTGATAAGAACTAAAGAAATGGCCAAAACAGAAAAAACAAAAACTTGAGGAAGTGACATAAACAAAAGGCACAGAAAGTCCACCAAATGAGCAATTCTCATGAATTTTAACTTAATCTGGAAGGTTTTCTAATCCTAATTTTCCAAAGCCCATATTTATTCAATAACATTTTTAGAATCCTATCTGAATGAAGCATCATAAAAGATAACGGTTTCAAGTCTACCACTCAGTCCTCCCATTTCTCTGAATAGAACTAATTATGCTATAGAGTGATGGGCCACTAAAAGAAGAGAGTTCTGGACCCTCTCTCTATTTCCTTAGCTGTGGAACCAGGTGGCTTTGGCTTTGAATTCCCATTGTATCATTTGTCCAGCCTGTGTACCTCAATTTCCTCATCTGTCAAATGAGAAGATCTTGTCTTGGTACTTGGGATTGAACCCAGGGGCATTTTACCACTGAGCCACATCCCCAGCCCTTTTTATTTTTTATTTTGAGATAGGGTCTCACTAAGTCATTGAGGGCCTTGCTAAATTGCTAAGGCTGGCCTTGATCCTCCTGCCTCAGTCTCCTGAGCCTCTGGGATTACAAGCATACATCACCACACCAGCCAACTTTTAAAATTTTACAGAGCAACTATTAGAAGCCATAAATAAATTTAGTAAGGGTATTAGATATAAAGCCTACATAAAAATGAATTCTATTTGTATACCATCAAACAAATACAAACAATTTTATAATGATAATGTTTTAGAAAACACCAAACACCTATGAGCAAATCTAATGAAGGAAGTACGTGTCCTCTTCAAGAATCACTATCATGGTGGCAAAATTACGGATACACTATTCTTCCAGCTTCTCAGGTCAAAGCCTGGAGTCACCCTTAATCCTTCTCTCATAGGGCACACAGGATCCCTCAGTAAATCCTGTTGGCTCCTCATTAAAATATATCCAGAATCTGAGCACCTGTCACCACCTCGTTGCTCTAAGCCATCATCAGGGAGTACTGCAAGGAGYACCCGCTAGCTGGACTATCACCTTGTCTCCACATGAACGTCCTCCCCTAGGAAAACCGGGGCAGGGTGAGTTAGGCAAAACCAGCTCTCAGCCTAAGAGCCCCAACTTGGTAAAAAAGAGCTATGCTGGTGCACATCTGAAAGGCCAACCACACAGAGCCCCCGTGGTCGAGTTCTCTGAACAGGTCAGTCCAGCTCAGCTGGGCTCACTACACACGCCAGCAAAAGCCTCGCAGTAATGAAGTGTGAGCACTTGTTTAACCTTGGTCTCTGGGAACTTACTTCCTTCAGAAGCAGCGCAATGAGAAAAGCAGAAGAGCAAGGCTGTGAGGCTGTGGCAGATCTTTGGGACTCTACACATCAAGTGACGAGGAAGGTGGTGCAGCGACCACCTAGAACGCTTCCTATGTTTAAGGCTCTAAGTGCTGTACCCGGGTTCCTTACTTCTATTTTACAGCCTTGAGAAGTCTTGTTATCATCATATTCATTTTATAAAAAAACTAAAATTCTACAAGGTTAAATAAGTTGCTAAAACTCACATAGCTAAATCTGGAATTCGAGTTCATCAGTGAGTCTGGCTGAATTATTAGTGTTGTGATAAGAAAGAAGTACAGAGGTGAACCTGTACTCTTCTGTTCAGTTCTTTGGTTGGCCCCTTTCGTTCTGCTCTGACCCACAGATGGCTCTGGACAATGTCCCCACATCTGTTTTCAGTGTGATSAGATAGATAAATCAAATGTACCACATTTCCCATGGCAGGATGTGCAGCTAGGCTGACCCTGTCTGCCCTTCTCTCTGTAGACCCTACAACTTGTGTACGTATGGTTGGATAATCTAACGGTATATTTTCTAGTTCTCTGCCTTCCCATTTTTGTTATGGTTCCTATCATCAGTATCTCTTTGTGCCTTTCATGACAAAACTCTCTTGTAGCAAACAATGACAACCGCAAAGACTCACACAGAACTTTCTATGAACTGATGCGCATTCGTGCTCCTAATCCTCCTGGCCTTGGGGTGGGTGCTACTTGTATCTTCCCTGCTGATGAGGAAACTCAGGCATGAAGAGGCTACAGGGCTCGTCTCAAGTCCATAGCTGCAGAGATGGAGGGACTCGGAGCCCAGGCAGGCTAGCTCAGAGTCCATGCCCCACGGCACCACGAGGGTCCACCTTGCAAGAAGTTTTCACCTGCCTGGTGATCTGTTTCACTGCGAGCTGCAGAGTCTGTTGTAAATAAAATGTGTTTAAGAAAGGAAAAGAGAAACGTGGCCAATGTCATCTTTGATGACTCTCCAATTTACACTGTTCTCCCTAGAGTTTAGAATCTCTAAAGCATATGAATGCATCACTAGGTATGGGTATTACTTCTGCTCCTTCTAAGAAGAATAGTAACCAAGAACATTTCCATTTTTAAATTAACAGTGTCCTTGGTATTACTGACATTTAGAGACTCATGATGAAAAGTAAAACAGTAAAAATAAAGACGATACCAAAATTGAAAACCTTTTATAACCCTCAATAAATATTAGAGAAATAGTTTCAGAAAACAGGAATGAAACCAACAAATGTGAAAACTATCTGAAATTCAGTGTTTATAAATTTAGCTGTTTTAAGCCATTACGACTGTACTCTCTTGGTGGCCTCTGAAATCCTCCTCGGTGCAGACAAACTCGTCCACAGCTTCTATGAAGCAAACTCTTGAGCCAGGAGGGAAAAGCAGCAAGTGCACAGGAGAGACCCGTGACAAGCCCGTGACAGCTGTGGGAAGGCAGAGGAGGAAGGCCACACTCGGGAAGCCATCTGGTCTTCAGCCAAAGACCTAGGGAC